TGAAAATCAGAGTTCAGGTAAACTTCTTCATTTCAATAGCACTCGCTGATGCCCAGTCTCCTTCCATTTTTTATCATGGCCTTTGCATTAGTCATACAATTATATATTGATATATTTTCATATTGATCTATATTTTCAACTCGGCCCTAATCAGGATGTTCTTCCAGATTGGACAGAATTTCATCTTATTCATCGCTATCATCCGAAGAAACGTATTGCCGGCATCGCTGCCTTCGATTGATGACATTTTAGAAGATATGGCTAAACAACTAACTCAATACAAAAACAACCAAGAACCCAAGCAGATCTTTGGAACACCTGACTGCGATAATTATCTTTAGTTAGTCCGCTGCTTACCACCTCGAAAAGCATGGTCGCCCGAATCTTGATGAACTTGATTTTTTCTCATTCTCAACTATATGATAACATTTACAAGTATCAGCAATTGTCAAAATTGCTTTAAAAATCTCGTATTACAAAAATACAATGAAATGAACTGATCGTGAGCTAAGCTTAAAATGCTCGTTTGGTACCCGATGTTATTCAAGAATTTAAAATCATGTAAGAATTTAAGAAAGAAACATACTGTCGAATCGCTCGTAATGATGAGCATACATCCGACTGACCGAAGTGTGTCGTACGACTACTCATACCGCTCGGAAGCGCATCGTCATTTAATGTGACACAGTCCATCTCCACTACGCAGTCGTCATCGACCATTGAGTTTTTCATTTCTCTGAAATACATCGAAAAGATGTTTTTCCTTTAAAAAAATGAAAATTTTCAGCATGGACAATCCCAATTCCGCTCACAAATGAAGTTGGAAATAAACAAAATTATGGCGAAAACAGAATTATGTTCTTCAGGATGTTTTCATGGGGTATATCGTCTCGTTAATGTACGTCCCATTTTCTGCGAAATATACGAAATCGTTCGCATACATCTTCTCACTCCAAAAAAATGAATGTGTTTTCATGTTCGACCAAAATTGATTGTAAGGCTGTCTAACGAACAGAAAACTGGTGTTGATTTGGTGAGTAGATATTGCGAAAAGATTTATTTGAATGACCAGCATAATGTCTTTAGAGAATATTAAGAACACAAAAAAAACCTACGTTAAGTCCCATTCAGATCGAGATTTCCGATCACCAAACATCGCTCCTTGCAATGGTATATTTGTTCTCAGTGTAGAATCACCTATTGATTGACCTAGAATTGTGAACTTTAAACTTATAAGAACAACCTTGTGGAATCGAGACATATTCCATGTGATTGCAACACATTCTCTTGGTTTTGCATTTTGTGATGGTTCTTCGAAGCCCATTCTCGTTAAAATGCAACCTTAGCATTACAGTGTCAGATGAGAAGAAATTCCTTCGGAACAGGTGCCTAAGTTTTGTGCTGCGACAACACATGACAGAAACTATAAGATGCATGAACTTCGATGAAAAATGAACCGTGAACTGCCATTCTGGGAAGACCGAATTTGAGGTAGGTATCGGCTTTCTGACTCAATCGGTTTTCTTCCAGTCGGCCGGCCTTAATAACGCCTTTAACTGCCTCTTTGTTCATATGAAAATTACCGAACGGTAGTGCTTTCGCCTGCAAATTGTTTTCAACTGCATAATCGAATTTCGGAAACAGTGCTAAGTGCAGTTTCATAAAACAATTAACTTCACTCAATAAAGTCGGATAACAAAGTGTTCTTGAGAGATTAGTGAAAATGAATTGAACGTGCAGAA